ATTTACTGGATGAAATGAGAGAAGTGAATAAATGTTAAGATAGAGTAAGTATAGGGCCCTTTGGAAAATACATAGAAGGATAAACTAAACTGGTTTGAAGGAGTAACTGCAGAAAGTGTGTTACACTGAGATGGGGTCAAAAGCCTCAGGGTGCAAAGAAAAGGCCATGCTGATGGACATAAGCCCACGTTTAAATTCTAGCAGGCCCTCCTGAGTGGTATAGCTCTCAAGGTGCTGACCCTTATGCGCTGCATTTACAAAACATAGATGATGACTTTGAAGGCCGTTTTGGAGGCTAACGGGATATTTGTTATGGTTAAGTGTCTGTGACCAAGAAGAACCTCAATGAAAAGCTGTCAGAGAAATTGCAGAAAACAGCATTGCACATTAAAGCGATAAATACTAAGTAGTAAGATTAAGAACACAAGTATTCTGAGGGTTGGATACTGATAATAAGCTGAAAGTCCTTGTGGAAATACAGGATAGGTGTGATGGTAGCTCTTAGCCTATAAGCCTGCAATGAAATACTACATGGTCATAAAAAGGAAGGCAATCTTACCCTTTGAGACAGCATGGACAGACCTAGAGATTCTTATGCTTAGTGGAATAAGCCTGTCAGAGAAAGACAAGTACCAAGTGGTCTCTCTTTTATGTGGAATCTAATGAACTCAATAAAATGCTGAACATAATAGCAACAAATGGAAGCACGGAAGAGAATGATGGGTCTCAGAGGGGAGGGGAGACTGCATGAAAGGTGAAGGGATTGGTTGAAGGCATATATGCATAACCATGATACAGACAGCATGTGTGAAAGCCAGGGAGATGCCAGGCAGGGGGAAGTGGGCAAAGGGTGCAGAGAGGTAGGTGCTTTGTGAGCATTTGTCTTCCTCTTCCAGGCCATCCTGAAAGTCTTCACATTCACTGTTAACTGCAGATCCATATGGCCTGACTGCTCACAGCACTGGAAACAACCTTTCAGATACCAGGTAAACTTAGTGTATTGGGTGGTAGAGGCTTGATATGGACTAAATGTGAGATGTGTGTGTGAGTGAGTGAGTGTGTGTGTGTGTGTGTGTGTGTGTGTGTGTATACACATATCCTTATATAATAAAAAGCTAATATGCAAATAGACCGAATGGTGGAACATCTGGTCGCTATGATGCACACTGAACACAAGAGGGCAGACACTCAACACAGGAGCTGTCCTCTGATGGTCAGTGTGCTCCCACAACCTGGGCTCACAGCTGGCGAGCTCAGTGTTGGTGATGGTAGCCTCTCCTGCCTCCGAGGCAACACTAAGGATGTCCAACTGTTGGCTTAGCTCTGAACATCCCCGAGGGCACTGGGACTGCGAGAAGGTGCAGGCCGGGCTGAGGGACCCCCTCCAAGTGCATGAATTTTGTGCACCGGGCCTCTCTAGTATTTACGTAAAAACACAAATTTTTCTTTCTAAGTTCTTGCAATAATCAGCTTCTCCTGCTTATATCCTAAATATCTATAACTACACCAGACTCCTTTCTTCTGTTCTTCCTTCTGCTCCTGTACATCAGACTCTTTTGTGCTGCATTCATATAATTAGGTCAGTACACACACACCGCTGCTCTCCACTGGCTTCAGCTCCTACCAGGTAAGCTTTGGGCAATGCCCTGAGTTGAATTGTCCGACATGTTTAACGTGGGCAGAGAGGGCTGGGAGTGGGAGACGTTGGCAGCAGACTTTGGGGTTTGCGGTCCATACCATGAGATAGAACTATATTTTTATGTGGCAAGAAAGTCATCTAAAAGTGAGAGGAGATGGTGGTAGCCACAGATGAAAGAAACAGTCAAACCTGAAAACATTTTATCATAAAAGTTTGGAGAAGGGAGAGCGTGTGTTACGATGATGAGGGGAGAGAAGTACTTGCATGGGCCTTTGAACCCAGAGCAGGAGCCAGGCCCAGGCAGGGCAGCGATAGGCCTGGGGAGGACCCTCAGGTTGAAGGCTGGCTCCACGCAGCCTGTGGAGCAGGTGCAGGGGCAAGTCCGCACAGTCTGGGCCTGCAGGGACCGGGGCTGGAGAACACCGAGGCCTTCGTAGTTCTGAGAGGGAGTGGCAAACACTGGACTGCGCTCAGAAGCCTGGGTTAAGGTGGATTTTGGAAAAATGTTATCTTTGCTCCCTAACTCTTAAAACACAATGGCTTCCAATCATGGCACAAACATGTGTCCTGCATGCTCTCTTCAGCGGTCTGGCCGGGGCACCTGCTGGCTGACTAGTGGGATCTTCCCCTCTCCTGCTCCAGGGATGCCGTGAACTTGGCTGAATGCAGCATCTTTGTGATTCCCATCTCCCAGACTCCTGGGCTTCATCCCCAGGACAACCCTGCTTTGAAAAAAAAATGTTCAAGGTTTGGATCCCAAAGGCTGCTGTCTGTCCTGCTCCAACCAAGCCCAGGCAACTGGCTCAGATGCCTTGAGGACAGAGGAAGAAGAGTGAGTTCCTCCTTCTTCTTCTTCTTCTTCTTCTTCTTCTTCTTCTTCTTCTTCTTCTTCTTCTTCTTCTTCTTCTTCTTCCTCTTCTTAAATATATTTTATTGATTTTTTACAGAGAGGAAGGGAGAGAGATAGAGAGCTAGAAACGTAGATGAGAGAGAATCATCGACCAGCTGCCTCTTGCACACCCCCTACTGGGGATGTGCCCGCAACCAACCTACATGCCCCTGGAATAGAACCTGGGACCTTTCAGTCTGCAGACGGACACTCTACCGCTGAGCCAAACCGGTTTCGGCTCTGCTGCTTCTTGTTTCCCAGGCCTGGTTGCTCTGGAGAATCAGGTCCCTGAATCATAGGGTTGCCTTTTCTCCCCCCCCCCCTTTTTTCTCAGCAAAATACACTGATATCCCCTTACTGTCCTGGATGTGATTCATAAAGGCAAGTGAATCAGAGAGTGCTTCTTCCTTGCTGCTCAGATGACACCCCTGACTTGGCCTGGGTGTGCCTGTTTTCCACCTAAAAGTTGTGCCTGTAGTTGACAAATCATTGGTACCAACTATCCTCCAGAATAAGCGCTGCCCACCAGGCTGCTTGGTTTGGTTAGGATCAGCTGGTCCTCTGCTTGTAAGAATGTCTTCTTTGGAGATTTGTGTGCTTGTTTGTTACTCATCAGAGGGAAGGACGGCAGACTTGAGGATGAGGGTGTAATGGGCTGATTCAGCGGCTTCTTGCCCACCCCTGGCTCTAGCTTCTGCTTCTCACTTTGTCCAGCTCCTCTCCTGGCTCCTGGGACCCACCTAAGCCACTGTCAGTGAATGATCTTCCAGCTTTCCCTCTATCACAGCCTGTGTTAGCTCAGTCCATGGGAGACCACTCCCCAGAACCAAACTCTTACCTCTGTGACCTCAGCATATTTCCAACCAATATGTAGACTAGACAATTGCATCTACTTAAACTTCTCCCAACCTAGAATTATTAGCAAAGATATTAATAACAATAATAATATTATATTTAGAAGCTCTTTGGCACATCTTAAAGATGGAACTAATTAATCTTCACAACACTCCACACAAGAGAGGTAAATATTATTAACTATAATTAAATATAAAATGGGTATACCAAGGACAGCAAAATAATTCACTTATTTATCACAGTTCACTTCATGTAGTATAACTGGTATTTTAAAACACCCATCATAGGTACAATAATTAGAGATGTGCTTTTGCTAACAAAACCACTACCCACTTCTAGAGTCCCCTTGGGTACTAAATAATTACCCACTTTGTGTGGTTATCTAGCTCACTAATTACCCACAGAAATTGGGGTCAGGTGTTAACTGCTTGAAATAAGTATCCTCCAAAGACATCCCTCAGTTGTATAGAGAAAATGATGTGTTCATAGCAAAACTTTTATAACTCATAACTCATGTATTTGTTTATCTTTGTAAGTAGAGTGAATATAAATGAGGCAAATTAGTTTACTGTGTAAAAATCACCACTCTGAATTATCATTGCAAATGCACAGAGGTTTAAAAGAGTCTCCGTCCATTCCATCCCCCATGTACCTTTTCTGCTGGAGATGAGCCAATAATGTGGAGCCCACATCTGGCCTCCATGGAGAAGCACATGGACCAGCACCGAGCAGCCCACTCTGCTCAGAGATGATTCATCTTGGCCTTGCAGGGCGGCACAGTGAGTCAAAGATGCTGTTGGACCGCTTTGCCCTTCATGATCACTCCAGCCTGTCTTTTCCTCTGGGTCTACTCCAAACGCACTGTTAGACAAATCTGAGAAATTCTCATCTCCTCACAAACCCTGTCAACCATTCTTCTCCTGCTCAATACGGACAAAAAATAAATAAATAAATAAAAAATGGAGGGGGGTATTGAATGAAACCCAACACCATGATCGCAGGTCTCTCTTTTTGCCTCTATTTGTTCTGATTCCCTCTCCTCCCCTCCCCCTCCCGTCCCCCTTTCCTCCCCCTCCCTCCTCCCTCTGAGGCTCCATTTGCATGTGCTCTTTCTTCTCCTTCTCCTTGGCACCCCGCCTGCTGGTGCAGGTTTCACAGTCGGAGCTAAGCGTCCTCTCCAGTGGAGCACAAAGAAGCTATCTTTTAGAAACATGGACCTAGGAAGCCTGCCCTCTCAGATGGTCCCTCCTCTCCCCTGCGCCCGGGCCAGGGTGGCCTCACACGGAGGCCTGCTGTCTTCGGCTCCAGCGGGGAAAACGGCTCCGGGGCAGCATGCCCATTGGTGCAGTTAGGAGGAGACCCTGGTTTGGGGTGATGCCTGTCTGACAAGACCATTGTGTAGCTCAGCTCTTACACTGTGCCAGCGGACATGGTGGGAAGCGCTCCCCGCGTGGCGGCCTCTCCCTGCTTCCTGTACCACGTGTGGTCCCTGAGCTCCCGCTCCTGTGCAAGGCTTCAGCTCACCCACCAGGAGATGTGTGGACACTGGGGCGAGCTGCTTCGGGAATAAGGAGACGTCTGCGCGGAAGCCAGGGGTGAGGGTGAGCTACAGTGAGGATGGTTCACTTCCAGTCCCTGCGGAGGAGCGGCAGAGAGGACCTGGGTGCAGCCAGGAGGGGAGGCAGCTCCAGGGAGCACGGAGCCTCAGGTGCGGGGTCGCCGGTGAGTGTGGATGAGCCACCCCGGCCCTGCAGCCCCGCAGGGGTGCTGGGATCTGACCTCCCGCCCAGGAGAACCCGCGCAGACCCCACCCCACCCCCGGCGTGCCCCGCAAGGGTGTGTCAGCTCCTGGGACGCACACCTGGGAGGCCGGGCCGCTCCCGCCACTCCCCTGCTGAGCATGAACTCAGACCGGACCCTCCGGCTGCCGTGTGGGGTGGCGTGTGTGCGGGGTGTGCGGGGTGTGCGGGGTGTGCGGGGTGCGGGGTGCGGGGTCGGGTGGCGTGAGCGGTGAGCCACCGCCTCGCCCGGGGCAGCTGGGGCGCCTGGCAGAGGGTGCGGGCGCGGAGGGGAGCTGAGAGGGTCAGGGGGCGGCCCCGAGATGGGAGGAGGCAATGGGGGCCACAAGCTTTGTGTGTGGACCGGGCGGGGCGCCAAGGCTCCCGCAGGAGGAGAGCCTGCAGCGGGGAGGGGAGCGGAGGGAGGTCCTGATTCGCCCGCGGCCCGCACCGGCCCCGCACCGGCCCCGCACCGGGCCGCCCCCGGGATCCGCGCCCCGGGATCCGCGCCCCGGGCCCCGAGCCGGTGCTGGGAGCGGAGCGGGGGGAGCTGGGCGGGGAGCCCGAGCAGCCGTGGCGCTGATTTGTGCCGGCGCCGCTGTCAGTCGCAGCCCCCCTCCGCGCCCCCCTCCCGGAGCCCGGAGCCCGGAGCCCGGAGCCCGGAGCCCGGAGCCCGGGGAGCGGAGCCCGGAGCCCGGGGAGCTGAGTGAATGCGTTTTCGGAGGCAGCCGCCGCCGAGAACGGGCAGGTTGTCCTATTTTCATAGGAAAGGGGACAGGGCGGCGGGAGATGGGGACGGAGCGGGGGAGACGGGGGACGGGGCGGGGGGAGACGGGGGACAGGGCGGCGGGAGATGGGGGACGGAGAGAGGGGAGATGGAGGGGAGCAGAGGTAGATGGGGCGGCAGGATGGGACGGAGGGCTGTTCTGGGAGGACAGGGCAGGGGCAGAGGACAGGCGGATGGATGGAAGGGCCGGAGGAGCCGGAGGTGAGCGCAGCCCGGGCGGGTCCAGCTTCGGGGCGTCCACCCGGGGGAGCGGGCTCCGGGGCAGACAGCACCGGCTGGTCCTCAGGCCTCAGCCCCTAGTCTTCCCTCCTGGGCTGCTCTGTCCTCCTCCGGGCAGACAGCGCCCACCTGGCTCACACTGGACGAGGGAGGGAGGAAGGAAAGGGAAGGAAGGAAGGAAGGAAGGAAGGAAGGAAGGAAGGAAGGAAGGAAGGAAGGAAGGAAGGAAGGAAGGAAGGAAGGAAGGGAGGGAGGGAGGGAGGGAGGGAGGGAGGGAGGGAGGGAGGGAGGGAGGGAGGGAGGGAGGGAGGGAGGGAGGGAGGGAGGGAGGGAGGGAAGGAAAGGAGGGAGGGAAGGAAAGGAGGAAGGGAAGGAAAGGAGGGAGGGAAGAAAGAAGAAGGGAGGGAGGGAGGGAAGGAAGGAAGGAGAGAGGGAGGGAGGGAAGGAGGGAAAAGAGAGGGAAGGAAGGAAGGAAGGAAGGAAGGAAGGAAGGAAGGAAGGAAGGAAGGAAGGGAGGAAGGAAGGAAGGAAGGAAGGAGAGAGGGAAGGAAGATGGGATCAGTTCTGAGAGTTATTTTCCCTCCTACCCTTCCCTCTGGGAGGCATCTCAGAGCCTCTTGCTCAGCTTCCAGGCCAACAGGGACGCTGCAGCTCATGGCCAGGAGCTCAGAGAGGATCGGGGGCAGGAGAGGATGAGGGGCTGAGAGGATGGGGGCAGGAGCGGAGATGGGGGCAGGAGCCTCAGCGCCTGGGCTGTGGGCAGACCCTGGCCTGGCTCAGGCCGCTCCCAGACGCACCCGGGCCAGGGCCAGCCTGCCAGGGGGGAGAGGTTGGCACTAGGAGGCCTTCATCTCAGGAAGAAGTAACGGAATAGTTCAAAGCCTCCGCCCCTCCCGCCACGCTCCCACCCAAGCCACCTCCCTTTCTGGGCAAAGCGGGACCGGGCAGCCCGGCTCTGGGCCGCCCTCCGCCCGCCCGCCGGGCCCCAGGACTCGCAGCCGGGACCAGCTCCGCCCGCCCGGCCCTGGAGCCGCCGCCGCCGCTGCCGGTGAGTGACCGTCCCTCCTTGCTCCCCCAGCCCAGTCCCTCCCTGCCCGGTTCGGCATTCGGTGCCGCGGGGAGGGCTGCCGCAGACGGTTCGGTCATCAGCGCTGGAGGCGCGGAAGCCTGGGGGACACTTGGCCCCGAGACCGCGGAGTCTCGAACCCTGCACCTGGCCCCTCACCGCACTGGCCGCTGTCAGACGCTCGGCCCCCGCAGCGTGCCCACCATCCTGTGTGCAGGCATGTAGATGTGCAAGCATGTGTGCACAGGCATGTGTGCACAGGCATGTACGCGTGCAGACATGTGTGTGCAAGCATGTAGGTGTGTGGGCATGCGTGTGGAGGCATGGTGTGCAGCGGGGAGCCTGCACGCGGCCCGCACCTGCGGCGGGAGCCGGCGGGCCGCCACCTGTGTGCCCCTCTCCCTGAAGCAGGAGCCGCCGCCGGGCTCGGCTTTGTCTCCGGAGGAGCAGTGCGCGCCCCTCGGTCCCTGAGACCCTAACTTGTGAGGTGTACGTCCAGGTCCACGGGTTAGGCTCTTGGGAGCTGCGAGCCGCGCCTGAGCACCGGGTTTGGTGGGACTTTCCCCTTAAAGCAAACGCAGGAAGACAAAGTTTGCCTGGCGCCCCGGGTGCCGCTGAGGGCTGCGCGCTGGCAGGTCAGGCAGGGGCCTGGGCAGGAGAGGGTCCGTGCGGGGCGGCCTGGCGGCTCCCTGGCTGCTACCGGCTGTGGGCCGGGGCCCTTCCCCAGAGCCGCAGGCGGTCCTCAGAGGAACAGGGACAGCTCGCACCTGGTGCTGGGCCTCAGCACACCAGCTGAAGTCCCAGAATGCCCCGGGCTCCCAACTTCTACACTCAATAGTCCATCTTAAAACTGCCCAAAAAATGGGCATGTGGACATATGAGATATTCAGTTCCTCACATGTGTATCATACAGGGCTAGATAGTGAACACAGACAATGATAGTGGTGAACCAATAATCTGGGCCAATATAGCCATAGGCTAAAATTTTTACTCTCCTTATTCTGGATAAAGGGTGGCATTTTGGTGTTAAAAAGACTAAATTTGTACTTCTTTGCAAGATCTTAAATAAAATAAAAGGAGATATATAGCCTCCTTACTTGGCTATTATTTTAAAATGCTATGTACAATGATTTTAAAAGTAATAGGGATTGGAAATGTATGATATACACTGAAAGAAAACCAGGATGCACACACACAAAATCCTTTAGGATTAACTGTATTATTCTTTGTGAAAAAGTTAGGGGAAATTATCAGGAATTTAATCCAATCCAATGTAGTTATTTATAACACAAAACTATACATTTAAAATTATCTTTTGAAGTAATCGTTAGCATTACCTAATTTGCAGTTTTCTGAAAAATGTGCCATCTTGTAAAAGAATAATTTCAGTGATTTAAATCTATGTCATAGTTAGAAAAGAGAAACTGTGACTTATCTTTCTTTGTTGTGAAAAATTCCAATATACAATTTTATTTAAACAACTTTGGTGTTCTTGGACCAATATTTGTCTTCTATTTTCTGGAAATACCTAAATTAATCCTGAATTCAAATGCGTTCTTCATTTGGAGACTTTATATTGGTTGTAACTGTTTATGCATGCAAAGGTTAAGGAAGCTCTTCTTCTCTGTCTTTTGTTTGTTTTGATTTTAAATATTCATTGCGATTTTAGTATTTGACTCTAAATCATAGTCAAAGAACCATTTTGTATCCGCAAACTGAATTGAGAGGATGAACTGTGGAACAATGTGCCATGTCTTTTGTTGAAACCGCTTGTGTACTTGTAACATTTAAATATCACTCTCTGGCCTTTGATAGTCTGAATGTGTTTCAAGGGAAAGTTATTGGATTTTTCAGGTCATTTTTTGGTTTGTATAGACTGGATTGATGACTTTCCCCCATCTTAGCTGATGTGCATGCATAGGTATTTGGAAATTATGGAAAGGCATCACTTTAATTTATGGATCTATAGCACCCCATGATTTATATCAAATATTTAAGACATATGATACCTTTCAAAGTCAAAATATATCTGCAGTTAATTTTATGAAAATGCATGCATGGGTCAACAAAAACCTGCTAGATATCATTCTTCTGTGATTTAGAATAGTAACCGGATAGTAATTTAATCCAAGTGGTACAGTTTGTATTCGAGGGAACTCTTGGTTTTTTGCATGTTTCCAAGTGGATTGCTCGTGTTCTGAGGTTGCTATTATACAACTGATCACAAGGTATTCAGAAGTGCACAACAACACACAAGATTTTATATTTCCACAGGGAACTGCTTCAGTATAAAGATAGGTTTCTCAGCACCCCTTCTTCCTCAGCGAGCCCATCAGTGAAGTTCAGTGAAATGAAGAACATAATTGGTGGTTGGTTCAATCACTACCAGTCTAGACTAGCCCAGACGCATCAATTAGAGAGGCTGTCTTTTAAAAAGAGAGAGTGCAACCGAAACAAGCAGGGCATTATGGATACAGATCTTTAAAAGTGCAAATCCAGCTTTGCAGATAAAAAAATAAGGGGGGAATGGGGAGGGGGCATTGCAGGAAGAAAAGAGAAAGAAGTGAACTGGAGCTTTGGGACAAGAAAGACAGGAAGTGAGAGAGAGGGAGGAATAATGAGTGAAACGCCATGCAGCACCTCGGAGGACAAAGTTACAGTTCAGCCAGGAGCATATGGTTCACCATATTTAACTAGCGCCCCCAATCCCCCGTTTTTTTTCTTTTCTGCATGTTTCCTAAGAAGTCCCAGCTCAAACCCAGTGCCGCTGGAAATGTAGGAAGCTTTTAGTGAGAATGAAGCCAAGTGGTGGTAGCCAGCCAAAGCTCCTTTTGCAATGTTTTTCCCCAAAAGAAAGAACAGAAAATGTTAATGTTTGAGTCTCTAATCATACCTTTAAAAAATCAGCTGTATTAATGAACACGGCTCATTTTAAATCCGCTAACTGGGAAGTATTTTATGGGCAAGACAACTCTAGGCAAGCAGCTAGTAGTTGAATACAGTGAAAGTATGAAGACTGTAACAAAGGCCTGGTGATTTAGAGGGGAGTGAGTAGGTGGATGGATAAAAGACAGAGGATTTAGAGAGCATTAGGAATATATCAAGCTCCAGGGAAAGAAAGGGTTTAATTGGTATTAATTAAAACACTGCTAATATATTCTAACAAAATCAAATTTGATTTTCTAAACTAATCTCCTTGCTATGTCAAAGGAAAAGAAAAGTATTATCTTATTTGCATCTCTGCAATCCAAATGCATTGCTCATTCAGCGGAATTAATGTTTACCACCAGTCTGTTTAATCTCCTCACACATTTAGTCAAACTTATTCTTTCAAACTAAAAGGATTAAGGCAGGGAATTCGTGCAGGTATTGGGAAGACTCATGGCTGTCCTTGTCACTGTCTTCATATTTTTCTATGTTCCTTTCTCCTCAGTGACTGTAATGAGGTGGAGAAATGGTGAGACTGCAGCGAGAATGATGAATATAGTTCATTTTTCCTCGTTTTTTTCTTCTGCCTTCCAGGTTATTTAGGAATTGCAGTTGCCAAATTATAGGAGTGTCTTTATTTACATGGCTGATGTTGGTCTGCTAATTAATAATCATATTTATTTCTGATTTCAGAATCTACTTTGTTACAAATTACTATTGAAAAAGGCTCTCAAATCAGAAATTAATGACCCCTTATCGGTTGTTTTCAACTGCAGTTCTCCTAAATGAATGGGGAGGTGAATGTAAAATTTCATACACCAAGAATTGAACTCTTTGTTTTCTTATTAAGTTAAAATTTCTGCAGGGAAATTCACACTTTTATCAAATGGTGAGTTTTATTCTCTATAGTGTTGAACTCTCACAATGGATAAAGTTGCCCCCGAGTGACATCATAGCAAAAATATTTCTCCACCCCTTAGTTTCCCAAGACTATGATATCATATGTAAATATGTGGCTAACCCCAACAATAAATAAGCTAACTGTATTGAGGACCATGTATATGTGTTTGAAGGTGAGGGATTCTGCACAGGATTGAGGATGTGAACTTCTGACTCACCTGCTGACACGGCTGCCTGCCTGCACCACTGCCTTTCCCAGCTCCACACTGCAAAAGAGCAGTTGCAGTTCAGCTCCTTGTATTGTTCTATAATCCAGGCAATAAATGCTAATTAGCAATGATCAAGGATCTGACTATTCAGAGTAATTATCATAATTTATGTCTTCCTTGCTAAAGACATTCCTTGCTGTTTTGTTTTGTTTTTTGTTTTTTTTTGTTTTTTGTTTTTTTAAATAAACTGTTGTTCTACCATTGCACTGCAGTGGAAAGCACACCGGAGAGATGTGTGAGGTAGGATTGGATCATTTGGGTTTCATTCAAAGTCGCCGGCATGTGCCTCTTAGCTTGTTCCAGATGGAATTGCAATTTATTTTCTAAAAAGGAATTCTTGGAAATACACAAAGTTTTGCATGTGCACCAGGAAGATATGATTTTATTTTACAAACCCCAAGGCTCCTCCTTCCAGCCCATCCCCTTCCTAAAATCACTTACTGAGCAGAACAAAGGAAACCGCTAACTACAGAGGCATCTCAGCGAACAGCAGCAGCATGATACAGTCTGTGATATGACCACACATGGCATTGCACGGAAGTGCAGCGGAATAAATCGTTTAAATAGTAACCCTAATTAGCAGACAGATCTTTAAGGAGGTATCAAGAAAATGGATCCAACCAACTTGAATAATAGGCTCCATTCCCCAAGATCACAAATGTACGTGGCAATCCGGAGATGGGTTGAATCACAGAAAGAGGAGGACAAAGCCCTTTTCTCAAAATGGAGCTTTGCTCTGGCATCCTCTTTAGGGCACATTAATCAGACATTTTGTAAGAACAGGATTTAATGCAGGGCTCTCTCTTTTCAAAGATATGATCTGCCATCCTCTTGCACCTTTCTTTTATCAGTTGATCTAAAATATCACCTGAAAAATTGTGATCCCCCTTAGATTTTCATATAATTGCTGCAAAATATACATGAAGCCTTCTCCACATTCTATAATGAGGCTTGTAGTCCAGGTTTTTTCTTATTGCTTGAAGCAAATAAGGATACTTTACACAGAAGGAACAGAATAAATAATCATGTTGAAATTCTATTTATTGGAGCTTTACCTATCAAGGTTATAGTCCCAGGGTCTGTTGTTCATTGGCCTTTATGGAGAACTTCAGCTTTCACTTGAGGGCTGTGAGCATATTAGAGGGATAATTCCCTTTGAATACTATACAGAAGGAACCACCTGCAAAATGTTGATGCTCTTATTGAAATCTCAAGTGGAATCAGCTTTCAAAAAATTAGATATTAGAGACATCCAATATAATTTGCAACATGTAATTATACGAAAGTGTATATAGATGTGTTTGCTTTACATGTTTCCTACTTGAGATTTTTTTTCTCTTTGGCATTTCTCATCATTTGACATGGATCCTGAGTAGAATGTTTTTCAAGTCAATTTAAAAATTTTTCTTGTTAATTAACATAAGAATAAAAGACTCTGTGATCTGTGTTCTCATGCAAGAATGCATGTGTATAACTTCAACATTGGCAATTCATCATAACTGACAAAGTTGTCATTGCAGAGACTGTTGCATTACTTGTAAAATATTTGCTGCTTTAATCTTCATCCTAACTTTAGATAATTTGAAGTAAGGAAGAACACTAGAATAGTAAATATTATTCATAAGACATCCATTTCCTTTATTTAAGTAATGAGATAACATGTCAGGGAAATGGTCTTAAGCAGAGACAATAATTTTAACCTGATCAGAATAACCAAGCTCATAACAGTAATCTTCCTCCATTTTGCATGGCACGTGATTAAGAACCGAGACTCTGCCAGGGATCATAGATGCCAGGCATCAGCCTCCCTTTGGGTGCCTCAGTGTGGTCCATTCATGGCCACAACTCCCTCTCCACACAGCAACTGTCTGCCTGCCACTGCCACCTGCTCTGTGCACAGGCGATGATGCTCTTGATGAAGATCGAGAGACTCATCACAGTCAGGTCACAGAAGCACCTGAGCAACCAGTGCCAGGGCCCCAGTTTATGTTTATCTGCTCAGGAGACAAGATTCCGAGGGACAAGGGTCGCTCATGCTGAGATGACACAGGATCTTACTTCATCCCAATTAAGTAGGCATGGATGTCAAGGAAAACTGATTTGTTAAACAGTTGACTCCTAATACACACCTAGAATGTGGTGGTTCGCTTATTTATAATTCTTCAAATTTATTTTAAAAGAGGGGTCCATGTTCTAAAAGAGACATTTCTGTGGGCTCTATCTATGATACACATTGTTTTGCTTTTCCTCTGGGCTTTCTATTAGGTTACCCAAAGGAGTAAAAAATAAGTTCTGTGAACACCTTTCCTTGACACAATAGCATTTTAACTTATTCACAATTAAGTCTATCACACATGTTAGCACCCCACCTTCCACTTTGTGTCCACAACATAATGAATTCTAAAATACGTAAGATGTATATTTTACTTAACTACTCATCTAGGATCCATTCTTGCAAGCTTGGTCAGAACAGAAAAATACTAATTAACAATATTTAGCAGCAGGTTATGTTACAGGTCCCGGAGCAAATGTATGTTATACTTGCCATCTAGAGAGCCAAGGTCTTTCATGTATCCCAAGTGTTTAGGGCAGAAATCAGTGAGAGAAGGTGGAATATCTCTTGGTGTATGTACCTGACTCATTACACATCCTCATTATGTGAACTTAATGAAGAGGCTGACAGTAAAAGCTTTAGTTAAATTAAAATCCACCTGCAAAGTACACTTCATTCATAACATCTATTGAAAAATAAAAGAAATATTAAATACAGTTCTTCCCAAACATTCTGATCTGTAAGATGCGTGGGTTGGATTCATTGATCTCCAATTATTTTAACTGAGAATTTGTGAAGCTGCTCCAAAGTAGAGGTACAAGAATGACTCCGGGACCCTTGACTCTGGAGGTATTTGTTTTAAGACTTGTCCTTTAAAGTTATATTCAATTCCACCTCCAGGTACTGTATTTACTAACATGAAGTTGTCTTGATGCTAAAACAGTAAAGTTCATTTTTAGGAAAAGCAGTGGCAGGGAGAGGAATAGCTGGAGAATGAAAAATGCTCTCAGTTCTAAGCCCACTCTGCAACACAAACATAGAAGAAACCCAGACAAGCACCTGCCTCCCTACTTTATTTATTAAAAATCTTTGTGTTGAAAGTATTATGTATGTCCCCATTTCCCTCCCCACCAGTGGCCCTCTTCTAGTCTACCCCCAACCCCTACCCTGGCCTTCATCACCCTGTGGTCTGTCTATGGCTTATGCATGTATGCATACAAGGTTTCTGGTTGATCTCTTCCCACCCACCTGCCCTTTCCACCCACCCCCACCTTCCCTCTGAGATTCCGCAATCTCTCTATTCTAAGAGCATATTCTTTAATCCCTCTGCCTTCATTTAATTTCTTTGCTTTTCTCATTGGACTGACACCTATCCCTTTCCACTTGACTTATTTGAATCATGTCAATATTCCCTTCAAAAGTCTACAATAGTTATATTAACACACTACACTTCTAAAATTAAATTTTAATATGTTCAAAACTCCTGAAATTTGCTTTGCTCCATTCTTTAAAACCACTCAAATATATCATTTTTTAAAATTTATTTTACTTTATTTTTAGCAAACCTATTTCCCCTGGCTTCCTGTCCATGTGCTGTTTTTCCCCTCTGTAAACTCTGTGCCTTCACCTCTTCCACACCTCAGAAACACTTTTTATTTCTTGCTTTCTTTCCTTCCCTCCTCCCTCATTCTTTCTCTTTTTCTTCCCTCCCTTCCTTCCTTCCTTCCTTCCTTCCTTCCTTCCTTCCTTCCTTCCTTCCTTCCTTCCTTCCTTCCTTCCTTCCTTTCATTCCTCTATTGGGCATGAGCCAGGCACTATACATTTAAATACAGGAATTGACATTAACTTCTAGCAACTCTGGTGGCTTCGACCACTGCATTGCTGAGGATTTATGTACCCACAATTATTTCATTTTGTATTTACTCTTAAGCTATTTGAACAAGTCCCTGATGTCCTGTGTTCTGCTGTTGGTTCTCTGCACGCCCTGTTTCTCAGTTGCCTGTGGGATTCACCTGAAGTTTCTCTTACAGACATTTCTCCCAGGGGATTAGCATGGTGCCCTCACACAACCACAGAGCTGTTGTTGGTCTGATTCAGGGGCACAGTAAGAAAGGGCTACGTGTTCCTGGTGCCGTAGTCTGGAACAGCAAGGAGCTAAAGTATCAATGCATGTATTTATGTTTATTGAGCACTAAATGTGATGACTTTCTGTGACATGTTCTGTTATGTTTTTTAGTTGTGTGGATGTTCATTTCAGCTGATCCAGTAGCCCCCAGGAAGGTTCAAAGACCACAGAGAGACCCAGTGGATGCCCAGGCCACTCAGAAGTTGAAACAAAAGTAATCACCTGAGGACACCTCTTCTGCTCAGCAACACCCTCTCCCCCCAGTCCCTTCAAGAAACAAAGAAACTTAAGAATGCCATCTAGATTTTTTGACATTGGTTTTGAGAGAGAGGGAGAGATGGGCAGACATATAGAGAGAGATTTGGTATTCTGCTTATTGATGTATTTATTGGTTGATTCTTGTATATGCCCTGGCAGGGATTGAACCCGAAACCTTGGCATATTAGGACCACTTTCTAACCAACTGAGCCACCTGGCCTGGGCTCATGTCATCTAGATTTTTCATGAGCCAAAGAAAATTGTATTCCTTCATTTGTATTCCTTCCTCATTAGTATTCATCTGCTTGAATTTAAATTTAATGCGACATTTATTTTTTAAAAGTCTTCCTAGTATACATTTGCTTATGAATGCACCAATTTTTAAAATAGGAATTGCACAAATGTGTTAATATTTTAAGGAACATTAATGCTCTAAGTAGATTGATTTTTAGCCACACACAAAGTGTGATCTTCAGAGTGACCTAAAGAGTATAAAGTGCTCTTGAAATAACAGCAGTGAGAGGCGATCCGAAGGGTAAAATAATGGGGGAAGTCATAACGCAACACAGAAATGCCACATATCCTGCCTGACATCAACCAAGCAAGCACTCTTTTTATTCAGCCATCTGGGACACGTGAGCTATGATCACTGCTTCTAGCCAGGAAATCTAGTTAGACAGAAGGACACAAACTTTCAAAAAGATAAATAACCACTCAGGTCAATAGATGGCAAGACCCAAACCCAACCCAAAACACTGGTTTAAACAAGGAACCCTGAGGAGATCAGCAGAAGCAGGACAAATCTGATCTGTCCAGGGAAGAAAGTCCCCCTAAAGAGAAAATGATGAAGTGAATCTTAAAGGATGTTAAAGAATTAGATAAGTGGAAAGAAAGGGGAAAAGCGTATCTTTTAGATAGATGCATTTTTGTGAAAGCAAACGCACACACAGCTGTCTCACCCCAGGTGTTGCCTACAGTTATAATTGTATTTCTTTGCCATTAAAGAAAGTGACTGGTAATAATACGAGAGCTTGTGATTATTCTGTTAACCTAATAATAATAGTATTTATTGTAGTCTCACTATATGTTAAGCATTTTATGTTAGCTCACATAAGCCTCACAGCAATTCAGCAAAAACCCATTTTATAGGTTAAGAAAACTGAGCCTTAATGCGGCTAAGTGACTTGCTACATAGCCAATACAGAGTTCACATCCAGAATTGCAATTGCAAAACTCATAGCCGAAGGCCATGGCTTCCAGCTGGCATGCTGCCAAACGTGTGAACCATGCAACAGCTGACCGGTCAGGCTGGGCACTGCCCTCTTTCCCCCGAGGCTGTCAAGCTAAAACAATAGTAGCTGACCAGTGTGAATGAATCAAAATTATATCTATGTTTTTGTCAGATTGGCAGAAAAATGTAATCTATTTTTGGTGTGTTGCAGAATTTTACTAATTAGTTTATGTGTGCCATGAGATGAAAGAGATTGAAATCCCTGGTCTAAGGCCTGCAGTCGCAATATTGCAATCATTACATTACTACTTGATATTATTTTTGTTGTAAACAAAGAGCTATTTCATTTAATCCCTTCAAATTTTTCAGATTTCTGGTTAAGTTATACTAGAGTGATAGAATGTATTTTCCTAATAGAAAATTGAAATAATTAGGGAATAGATATATTAATATTTTAGGCTATTTTCTTTTTTCTTTCTTTCTTTTTCTTTCTTTTTCTTTCTTTTTTTTTTTTTTTTTTTTTTTTGCTAGACTTTGATGAGATTCTTCAATTTTGTCTGCATAGTCTCAACTTCTTGAAAAGAAAAAAAATGGGTTGGTAGTGATTAAAGGTCAGTTAATCTGTGTCCTTTCTACAGGTGAGAGAGGGGCTCGTGGAGGCCTCATATTTACGATCCCCCAAGCTAAGCCAACGGCTTGAACCACCCACCACCCTCCAAGAACCTAAACCAGTCATGAACTTGACCTCGATTAGTGGAAACATTTTATCTCAGAGGTTTGGGAGCCTTGTACCTAGTAGATTGTTTCAGCTTTGCACCTCTTTGGCTTCCCAGGTTAATATGAAAAATATCTAGCTGTGAACTAACTACCATTTTAGATCCTGGTCCCTGGCCAGTTTTCTAAATGGTTAGAGCATCAGCCCTGGTAGCAGATTCTTCAGTCCCAGTAGGGAAGCAAGTAGGAGGCAACCAATTGAGGTATCTCTCTCACATCAATGTTTCTCTCTCCCCCTCCTCCTACCCTTCCAATCTCTCTAGAAATCAATGGAAAAAATATCCTTAGGAGAAGATTAAAAACCAATCATATATTATAATGGCCCAAGTTATTATGTGCAATATATTCAATGATATTCTTAAGGTATTTGAAAAGTTGGTTCACCTAAACAAATCCAATCTTCTAACTATTTTGTTAACCAATTTTGTGCACAGTATGCATTTATAAGTGTTTCTGCATGAATATTTACATATGACTTTCAATAGTCCTTCAATTTTAAAAGTATCAATGGTTATTTGCTATTTTAATACTCACTTATCTGTGTATCAATTCAAGAATATTTCAGCCATAAAAAGCTAGAATTGAGAAAACTTCACTCTTCTTTACCAACCCCTTTGCATTTAATTGGCATTTGGTTATGATTAATAAAATGGTCAGCTGGCCCAGATGGCATGATTCCGTGGTTGAGCATCAACCTATGAACCAGGAGTTTATGCTTTGATTCCCAGTCAGGGCACATACCTGGATTGTGGGTTCAGTCCCCAGTGTGGGCCATGCACGAGGCAGCTGACACATAATTCTCTCTCATCATTGATGTTTCTATCTCTCTCCTTTTCCCTTCCTCTCATTAATCAATAAAAATACATTTAAAAAAATAAAAAATAAATAAAATGGTCAGCTGGATGACACAGAGATTCAGAACACAAATCTGTCTTGAAGGAACCTGTGAAGTGGGGTCCACTTCAGGACCAGCATCTTGCTTGGGATGCCAGATAAGAGACAGCTGCACATCTCTCAGACACTGGCATTGTCAGAGCTTCTCATGGCTGAGCTTGGCCTGTTTTCCAGATGGTTATTGGCTGTATTTCACCCAGTTCTCATTCAATGAGATCGTAAATAAACAGGGTTTTTAAAGTAGCCAAGCACAGAATATGATTTTGTTGGCATTTTCTGAGGCTTTGTTATAAGTCCCTGGAATCCTCAATAAAAGGAATATTGCATCCACTGTGAACTTGTGTGTTTCCTGGAAGAGCATGCTCTCAATACGAGGTTGTTGGCACCAGAGTACACAAAGCTAGCTTCAGGATCCAGGGGAGCAAGTAATCTAATATGATAGGAAAATTTCAATTCAGAGACAATTTCTAAATGACCTTATGTTGCCTTTCAATAAAGTTCACTGTCATCTATCAATGTCAGAAACCAATGAGTGCTCCTCATCTTTCTCTTTTCAGCTGTCATGGCCAGTCAAATCTTTTTTTTTTCTTTCTTCTTCCTGTTTTCCAATACATCTGCATGTCTCCACCTTCCACATGGCTGCAGCTAAGACACCCCTCACTTCTCACCCGGATCAGGGCATCAGGCCTCCAGTTTTTCCTCCCCACGCCACAAATACCATCACAGCACTCACAGTGCCCAGCATTTTATTGGGTCCCTATTGCCCTTGAAATAGCATGACACCTAAAGCCCTTCCTATCCTGGATCCTGGCCCAACATTCCTCTTCTTCCCCACATTCTTTTCAATGTTGCTGCCACACATATTTGCCATTTCTTAATGCTCTTTTTATACCCTGCGCTTTCTCAGATATCCACACTGTCTGGGTGGCTCTCGCTCCACTGCCCCTTCCAGACTCTGCATCTCGCCCCTTGGGTCTCATCCTGGAACCCTTTCCTCTCGGGAATCTTTGCCTCAACCATCCTACCATCACCCTACGACTCTCTTCTTTCATCGGTGCTTCCATAGCCTCTGTGCACTCCTCCTAGTAGCACTGATCACCCTGATTATTGATAACTTGTGCCAGTCTTCTCTCTTTGAATATGTGGTTCCAGAGTTGCCTTATTCAGTAGGGTCGCCATTTGCCATATGTGGCTACTTCAATTTACAATCTTAAGTAAAATAAAAAAATTAACCTCTCAGGTGCACTGGCCACATTCTAAGGGCTCAGTTGCCACGTGACTAGGTGTAGGTAAAAAGCAATCCCCTTAATCAGTGTAGGTAAAAAGCAATCCTGTATCCTGGAAAGTTGTCCAGGACCAGGCTATTCTGAAAGACAGGCACTGCGTCTCCTTTGTCACTGCACCCTCTGGCACTGGCAGCCCTTCCTAGTGGAGCTCACTCTCTGAACCACAGAGCAAAACAACCAGGTGAGTGACTCTTTTCTTAATTCCTTCAGAAATGACATAGCACTAAAACTATGCTATATGCATGGGAAGTAAATCTTAATAAAAGTGTAATATGCAAATGAACCATCACACCAAGATACAGATGGCTGCCCCCATGTGGACACAAGATGGCCGCAACAAGATGGCCACCACAAGATGGCCTGCAGGGGAGGGCAATTGTGGGAAGTTAGGGGCGACCAGGCCAGCAAAGGAGAGCAATTGGGGGTGACCAGGCTGGCAGAGGGGGGTAGTTGCAGGAAACCAGGCCAGTAAGGGAAGGCAATTGGAGGAGACCCAAGCCTTCAGGGGAAACCATTCGGGGGCACCAGGCCTGCAGTGGAGGGCAGTTGGGGAGGGACTAGGCCTGCAGTGGAGGGCAGTTGGGGGGAACCCAGGCCTGCAGGAGAGGGCAATTGGGGGATGGGGGACCAGACCTGCAGGCGAGGGCAGTTGGGTGGGACCAGGCCTGCAGGGGAGGGCAGTTGGAGAGCAGGCCTGCAGGGTAGAGCCATTCGGGGGGACCAGGCCTGTAGTGGATGACAGTTGGGAAGACCTAGGCCTGCAGGGGAAGGCAGT